GTTTATTTGATTCGTCGCAAGCTAGTCATTTCTTTTGTTTGCGACCATTGTATATTTTAGTCGCAAAGTTTTTTTTTTCTTTTTTTTAAATTAAATTCTGGTTCAATATATTTTCAATTGACGAATTCAACCTGTATTCAGCTGTTGTATAAAAAAATAAACATTTATATCAAAAATATTAAAACCAAATTTACGGATTAAATATCAAAAGGTAGCGCACAAACATACATTCAAAAAGTACATAAAAACTTAAAAGCATATAATGTAGTGTTCAAACTTTAATGCAAAAAGCAAACAAACTTCAACCCTTTTTATACTCCACCAACATTAGAAAGAGTCGATGTCGAGGCTTCTAGTCCAAAACGCCCGGCCAAGGTGTTCACAATTTCTCGGGTTTCACTCTATAGTCTTAGTTCTGTAGTTGGAATACCGGCCCCTCCGTATTCCCATGTCTACTCGACCGATAGCCATGTTAAGATTCTGACTTTCCTATACCTGACCATGCAATAACTCTACAACCTATTGTTCACCACTTAACATAGCCAATTTTATAAGGATTTCAAACCAAAGAAGAAAAAAAATTAGGGCAAGAAAAATTACCTTTTTGTAGTTGTTGGGGGCTAGCTAGAGAGGAGGAAGTTACAAAGGCCTAGCTACAGATGAACGAGGCCGTAGGGAGAAGATGGAGGTGGCGGCGCCGCCGTATAGATCTGGCCGGATATTGACAAAACAACGAGAACAACGGAGAGCGGAGGGCGGACGGCGGAGGCGCAGGTCGGATGACGGAGGCGGAGAGGGAGGGAGGGCAGAGGGCGGCCGGAGACGGAGGCGGAGAGGGAGGCGCCGGCGGAGGGTGGGCTGTGAGAGATTGAAAGAGAGAGATTGAAGGGTGTTCTTTCCTTTCCACAATGTGAAAAAGCAGAAATTTTAGAGAGAGACGAAGAAAAAGCTTAGCTTCTTGAAATTTTCGAAAATGAAGAAAAGAAAGAAGAGGAAGAAGACTTACTCCTTTGACCAAGAATTTTACTCTTGAAAGAGAGATTTTAGGATTTTACTAATTTCGAAAATTGGGAGAAGAGGAGAAACATATTTTGATTTTTGATCTTCAGGATGTGTAGAGAAGATGAAGAAACATATGAAGGCTTGGGTTCTATTTATAGAGTTGTGGGGGACTTGCATGCTTGATGATTAAGAATGGGGGAGTGGCCTTTTTGCAATTTAGGCAAACTTAGAAATTATCTAGAGGGATTTCTTTGCATTTTCATTTAACTATCCAAAAAGAAATTCGAAAAGGAAAATCTTAATACACATGGGTTCACCTAGAAATTCAAAAAGGAAAAAGGGTTGTACTCAAGGAAAATTTTGGTCTTGTGTTGTACCATGGTCAAAATTGAGGGATGAATAGGAGAAAATTTCTATTTTACCTCAAATAATTTTACTCAACAAAAACAAAATTTTGATTTTCAATTAAGTTAATATTTGATTTAAAATTCTCCCAATAAATAAGTATTAGCAAAACAAAGGAGTACGATTAATCTCTAGATATATGTTGAGTGTATATTTTTACACTCAATGTACACTTTCTTACGAGAATTTTTGTATACTTTTATTGATTGAATGATGCTTAATGAGTGGTTTATTGTATTTTAGGTACAACTTGACGATTTGGAAGTTCCAAGGACGAAACGATTGAAAAAAGGTCAAAAACGGGCAAAAACGGAAGAAAACCAAAAATGCTGAAAATTGGCTGAAAAGAGGCCCGCGCGGCCATGTCAACTTTAGCCTATTTTTGGCACGACCGCGCCGATTGCAGAAGTTGGGCAGAAGGTTTCGGCGATTCTCACGCGGCCGTGTGAGAATTGCACTGATTCTCGTGCGGCCGCGCCAAAACACGCTGGAGACAATTTTGGACTTTTAATCACACAAGGAAACCTAAATTTTTCTACCAAATTGGGACATCTATTTAAGCCTAAACCAAGCACGAAATAGAGGACTTTTGAACACAATCTTGGAGAAAGAGGAGCGAGAGAACGAAGAAACAAAGACGGAGAATTGACAAATCTTCATCACAATTCTTCTTTCATCTATCCTTACTTAATCTATGTCTTTTTATATTTTTATTATGTTTTTCGTAGAGAACATGCGTAGCTAAGTTTTTAATCTAGGATTTTGTTGGAACCCTATGTGGGGATGGTGAACCCGTTTTCTTGAGATTATGCAATTATGATTTTATGATTATTTCTTCTTCTAGTTATGATTGCTAGTGCATGAACTTGATCAATTTATGTGCTTTATCTGTGATTATTGGGATTGACTCGATAGAGCTATTTTGATAATTAGACGGTAAGTAGAAGAACCTTTGAGTAGTTTTCACCGGATGAGTGTGTCAATTGCATGTGGTGTCGTAGACATACATATATCACCTTAGGTAGCCATTTACGAGACTTGTTGGTTAATGCTTTATTCATAATTTGTTTGCATAGACATGTAGTGAACCATTTATGAATAATAGACTCATAATACACGCGACAGCGGGTTATGAGTAAATTAGTGTCTCGGGTTAATAATCATGAATCATGTATTTCATAATTGAGGGGTTTTGGGTGAGCAATTCTTGCATATGGGGAAGATAAAATCCTAGGTCCGTTTTTATTGATATTTTCTCGTGTTTATTTGTTTTCATAATTAGTTTAATTATTTAGTTGATTAAATTTGACAATTTTGCGTAGGCTGGATAAAAATCATAATCGTTAGAATTTGGTACTTAGGATTAGATAATTTGAGTATTCCCTGTGGGATCGACATCTGACTCTCACGAGTCCACTTTTACTACTTGTTTGCGATACGTGCACTTGCGTGTTAGGTATTTAGCCCCAACAAGTTTTTGGCGCCGTTGCCGGGGACTACGGCTAAATTATCTATTTATCCTAATATTGAATTTGAGCAATTTTTCTTACTTTAGCCGTTTATTTTATTTTATTTAATTGTTTTATTTTTATTATTTTTGTTTTAGGTACTTTTATGCGACAATGGAAGAAGAGAATAATCGTAGGGGAGATGACCAAGGGCGCCTACCGAATGCGGCAGGAAATATCGTCAACGAGCAAGAGCAACTTCAGTTAATTAATCCACCACCTCGTCAACGAGCATTGCATGAGTACACCGTTCCAACACTCAATGGGTTTCAATCGAACATCCAGCAGCCCCCCATTGAAGCCAACAATTTCGAAATTCGAACGGGACTCTTTACTATGCTCCAAAACAATGGGTTGTTCAGCGGATTAGCTCATGAAGATCCGCATCTCCACTTGGTCAACTTTCTCGAAATGTGTGATTCGCACAAGATGAACGGAGTATCTCTTGAAGCACTGCAACTCCGCCTTTTCAAGCACTCTTTACAAGGAGCAACCCGAGAATGGTTACTAACTCGTGCACCGCACTCCATCTCATCTTGGCCCCAGCTAGCACAGCTCTTCATGAATACGTACAACTCCCCAACCAAAACTGAGAGAAACCGGAGAGAAATACAAAACTTCTTACAAGAAGCCGGTGAAGCATTATTCGAGACGTGGGAGCGGTTCAAACAACTTATTCGGAGATGCCCGAATCACGGTCTTCAAGAGTGGCGACAACTTCAAATATTTTATGGTGGATTGCAAGATAATTTGAGAACGGTGCTCGATTCAGCAGCTGGCGGTATGTACTGGAGCTTGACATATGACGAAGCTTACGAACTTTTGGAGCGGATCGCAAGGAACAAATACATGCGGGCATCGGACCGGTCGAATAGCGGAGCCAATAAGACGGGAGGAATTTTGGAGTTAGACGGGGTCACCGCAATCACTGCCCAGTTAGAAAAGCTATCAAAGCAAGTAGCAGCTTTGCAGACTCAACAAGTCCATGCAGTCCAAGGTCCCGACCAGTGCTTAGAAGAAACGGAGTCTCTAAATTACGTAAATGACACCAACCGACAACAGAGGAACCCGTACTCCAACACTTATAATCCGGGATGGAAAGATCACCCCAACTTTGGATAGGGAGGAAATCAGCAAGGACAAAGGCCAGCTCCCGGAGTCCAGAATCTGCCCCAAGCTCCATCTCAAGGTGGAGATCTCGCAAACATCTTAGCTCAATTTATGACATCAACGCAAGCTTCCATTCGAAATTTGGAAACACAGATGGGTCAACTTGCAACCCAACTAAACGCGAGGCCGTCGGGAGCACTGCCGTCGAATACGGAAGATCCTCGAAAGAGCAACATCGAGCAGTGCAATGCAGTAACTTTGCGAAATGGGAGGCAATTAGAGGAAGGTCCTAAAAAGTCCGTTGCACCACCGCCTATTATAGAGGAGCCCAAAGAAAAGACCGAGGTCGGGCCAAGCAATACAGTAAGTTAATCTACTCCCAAGGTACCCTTCCCTCAACGTTTTCAAAATTCTAAGCTTGATATGCCATTTCAGTTATTTTTGGATTATCTTAAAAAGTTGCATGTCAATATTCCTTTTGTTTAGGCACTTAAGCATATGCCAAATTGGGTTAAGTTTATAAAGGAACTTGTATCGAAGAAGATGAGGCTTCCGGAGTGTGCAGCAATAGTAGACCTCAATGAGCAAAGTAGTGCCATCCTTTCAAATAAAATCCAAACGAAGCTTAAAGATCCGGGGAGTTGTACCATTCCATGCACAATAGGTACAAGGTATTTTGGGCGAGCATTGTGTGATCAAGCGGCGAGCGTAAATTTAATGCCTTTATCAATTTACGAGAAATTGAATTTAGGAGAAATTAAGCCCACTTCCGTGACCTTGCAGCTAGCCGATAGATCTTTTACTCACCCTTTAGGTATAGTGGAGGATGTATTGGTCAAGGTAGATAAGTTCATACTCCCGGCCGATTTTCTAGTACTAGACATAGAGGAAGATGAAAATATTCCCCTTATCTTAAGACGCCCCTTCTTAGCAACCGGTAGATCAATTATTGATGTAGGAAAAAGAGAGCTAAGAATGAGTGTGGAGGAAGAAACAATGATTTTCAAGGTGTACCGGGTGGATGAAAAGCCTACTACGGCTAATGGATGTTATCTACTTGTCAAGGTAAGTGATTTTAAACTCGTTTCTATTAAACTACATGATTTAAAAAATATTGTGGAGACTAATGTGCATGTAGGAGAACAAAAGGAAAAGGTTGAGTTGGTTACAACACCTACTCAAAACACCGTGATAAAAGACGATGTTGCCAAGCCTCATTTCATCAAGAAGAATAAATTCAAGGGCATTCCTAAGCGAACCAGTCGAAAGAAGAATCGGATCAACCCATTTATTCAAGACTTTCTCCAAAAGGAAGTAGGGAGATGGGTCCAAAAGCTAAGGAATTGAAGAGCATGAACAAAGTCTGGCTGAAGACTATAAACTTAGCGCTTCTCGGGAGGCAACCCGAGATTTTCGTTTTTTTTTTTATTTATTTTTTTATTTTTTTCTTGTTTCATTTTATTTATTTATTTTATAAGCATGCAAGCTGACAATTTAAGCATATTTTTAATTTTTAGGACAAAAAATTGCAGCTCTGGAGCTCATACGGCCGTCCCAAAACAAGGCCAAATATCATACGGCCGTCCGAAAAATCTGGGAAGCTACTACCTAATTTTGGCTTGGGGCGCGGCCACACGAAAAACACACTATAATTCGCGCGGTCGTGCGAGAAACAGACAGCTACTGTCCATTTTTGGAAATTCGCACAGCCGTGCGGAAAACAGTTCAAAACCTGACACGGCCATGCCAGATGGATAGAAGCACAATAAAAGGCGAAAATTTCAAGAGCCCGGAGATGGCCATGTCGACTAGTCAGGTGTTTTCTATCCTTGATCTTCGTGCTAATTATTATTGAGGGCAATGTAAATTTTAAGTTTGGGGGTGGATAATTACTTGCTTTTATGTGCTTTAATTTTTTAGTTTGTATGCCTTAGGATTTTTTTTGATGTGTATTGCTTTCGAAAAAAAAAATGTTTGCGATAAATACTTCGATGAATCATGATGATGAAAGATGGATGATGTTTAATGATGAAATTGCTTGCTTTATCTTGATCGTGATTGAATTTTGGTGAGCTTTTGATTCAAAGTGTCGTAGGAAGGAGTCATTGTTAGGAATCATGAATTATGCCTTACTTTGGTTGAAAGTTTTGTGTTTTAAAACGTGGAATTAATTTATCCTATATCATATGCTACTCGGTTTTAGAACTAGCCTTAGGAATTTACAAAGTGAAATATTAAATTGTTGAGTAATATGGGAAGTGATTTGGGCCATCTTTGAACCGTTTGAGCTTTTCAAGCCTACCTTTAAATTTTTATCATTCGAACCTTGATTGAGCCTTGGAGAAACGGTATTCTTTCTTTTAGCCAAAATAAAGTGGGTAGATTAGATGGAGATTTCTTGATAAATTTTCCCTTGGAGCTTGGTTGAAAAAAAAAATTGTTACGTTTTTCTTCTTCGAAAAAAAAATGATGAAGAAATAAAAAAGATGAAGAAGAAAGATAGAAGGGGAAGAAAGGACTTGAGAAAGATTTTTAAGTAAAAACTCGAACCATCATGTTAAGAGAAAAAGTGGAGACTTTTGAACTCTTAACAAATCGAGTTAGGTTATAAGTCCTTCAAGGTGAAGCAATAATTCCAAAAGCTAAATCTTAGCGAAAATACCTCTAGTCAAGAACGAGAGTTAAAAATTCCGTCAAGTGCAACTCTTAGTGACTAATTGTAAGATGAAAGGAGAAGAATAGTCACTTTTACCCATATTTTCTACCTTGTACCAAAAGCCCAACATTTGAGAGCCAAAAAGTCCCAATGATCCCAATAGCTCAAGTATTTGATACTAACCGAGTAGAGAAATTTGGTGAGTCTTTGGAGTTGAATATTATTATGTAAGTATAATTTTTCTCCATTTTTAATTTACAAATATGGGATACTTGAAGTGATAGCATGGTTTGTGGTTTTTGACAAGGGTGAGTGAATACGTATCTTTGAATTCCGAGCTTGTAAATTTTTAAGAATTGTCATGATAATTGCAAGTTCTGAAAACGTGAAAGTTGACTATTGATCTATGTGCTGAGAGGCATTTGTTGAAAGTGTTGCTTTGAAAGTTGCTAATTTTTGCTTGAGGACAAACAAAAGTTCAAGCGTGGGGGTGTGTTGAGTATATATTTTTACACTCAATGTATACTTTCTTACGAGGATTTTTGTATACTTTTATTGATTTAATGATGCTTAATGAGTGGTTTATTGTATTTTAGGTACAACTTGACGATTTGGAAGTTCCAAGGACGAAACGAGCCAAAAACGGTAAAAAACGGCAAAAACGGAAGAAAACAAAAAATGTTGAAAATTGGCTGAAAAAAGGCCCGCGCGGCCGTGCCAAATTTAGCCTATGTTTGGCACGGCCGCACCGATTGCAGAAGTTGGGCAGAAGGTTTCGGCGATTCTCGCGCGGCCGTGGGAGAATTGCACTGATTCTCGCGCGGCCACGCCAAAACACGCTGGAGACAATTTTGGGCTTTTAATCACACAAGGAAACCTAAATTTTTCTACCAAATTGGGACATCTATTTAAGCCCAAACCAAGCACGAATTAGAGGACTTTTGAACACAATCTTGGAATAGAGGAGCGAGAGAACGAAGAAACGAAGACGGAGAATTGACAAATCTTCATCACAATTCTTCTTTCATCTATCCTTACTTAATCTATGTCTTTTTATATTTTCATTATGTTTTTCGTAGAGAACATGCATAGCTAAGTTTTTAATCTAGGATTTTGTTGGAACCCTATGTGGGGATGGTGAACCCGTTTTCTTGAGATTATGCAATTATGATTTTATGATTATTTCTTCTACTAGTTATGATTGTTAGTGCATGAACTTGGCAATTTATGTGCTTTATCTGTGATTATTGGGATTGACTCGACAGAGCTATATTGATAATTAGACGGTAAGTAGAAGAACCTTCGAGTAGTTTTCACCGGATGAGTGTGTCAATTGCATGTGGTGTCGTAGACATACAGATATCACCTTAGGTAGCCATTTACGAGACTTGTTAGTTAATGCTTTATTCATAATTTGTTTGCATAGACATGTAGTGAACCATTTATGAATCATAGACTCATAATACACGCGACAGCGGGTTATGAGTAAATTAGTGTCTCGGGTTAATAATCATGAATCATGTATTTCATAATTGAGGGGTTCTGGGTGAGCAATTCTTGCATAGGGATAAAATACTATGTCTGTTTTTATTGATATTTTCTCGTGTTTATTTGCTTTCATAATTAGTTTAATTATTTAGTTGATTAAATATGACAACTTTGCGTAGGCTGGATAAAAATCATAATCGTTAGAATTTGGTACTTAGGATTAGATAATTTGAGTATTCCCTGTGGGATCGACATCCGACTCTCACGAGTCCACTTTTACTACTTGTTTGCGATACGTGCACTTGCGTGTTAGGTATTTAGCCCCAATAATATAATAATTAACTAAGATGATCAATTCAAATTCGTACAAAATTATTTCGGACTAATGCATTCTATGTGAAATTTCACCGATTATCACATAAATAAAAATCTTAAACTAATAAGCGCACGTAAGAGATAAAATCATGTTAACTAAATATATGCTAATTAATGGAAATTAAATTATCGGAGACGCGGGGTGTTACAGAAAAAAATGAGTTTTATGTCGAAAAACATCCGTAAAGTAAGGGGTTATTGTGCATAAGTCCCCAACCAAACATGTTTATTATTCTAGGTTTAGGGGCTATATATCTTTCACCAATAAGCCCATCCCTTTAATATTTATTATAAATAAAGGAAACACTCATGTATATCCCAATATTACCCCCAACCATTTATACCCAATTCTTAATTGTAACCCCAATTTAATCAATTTTGTCCACAAAAATCCAATTTTGACAACAAAAATTCAATTTTGACTTTTGTTTGGAGCATACTTTAATATGCTCCAATTTCATCATTTAACTTAATTTAATCTCAATTTGACCCCAAATTTCACAAATTATTCAATTTTGACCCAAAACTTTTTTTTTTTCACAAACATTTTTTTTTCAAAAAAACAATTTTGCCGCCGGATTCAGGCATTGACCGGTGGTCAAGGCCGGTCTCCGGCGTTGACTTTTTTTTTTTTTTTTGCTTTTTTCTTTTCTTTTCTTTCGGATTTTTTCGCCTGTCTCCGGCGTTGACTTTTTTTGTGTTTTTTAAAAAAAAAAGTTTTTTTTTTTTTTTTTTACGTCCGCCGCTAAACGTTGACCGTAATTGTGCTGTCACTGACAGTAAATTAACATAATTATACTGTCAATGACAGTAAATTAACGTAATTGTACTGCCGTTGACAATACGTTTATGTAATTGTGCTGCCGTTGACAGTAAATTAATGTAATATTATTATTTTTTTATTTTTGGTTGTTTTTTTTTTATTTTGTTTGATTTGTTGACAAGTCAACGTAATTATATTACTGTCGTTGACTGTAAACACAATAATATTACTGTCAACAACATCAATATTGTTATGAATGCATTCAATATGCATTTAGTGTGGATGTCAAAAACGTAAGAGTTTAAGTGGCTTCATTAATACTTCATGTATTCAATATGCTACTTGAGAACTATAAATAGATGTCATTGTAATGGATCTAAAACACACTTGAATAAACAAGAAAGAATAAGAAGAAAAGGTTCTATTATCCTTACCTTTGATCTCCCATATTCTTGTTTTACTTGATTTTCTTTAATATATTTATAATACGTTATCAGCACGAGTTTGCTCATGTTTTTATTTGAAGTTGGTTTCGGTAATAGACATGCATTTCATGTTTATTGTCACAATTCAATCTCAGTACGAGACATATAGATATATTTCCAACACTTTTTCTCGGCCCTAACTTTTGTTGTTTTTTGAAAAATCATATAGCACTACAACTGATTTCATTAATACATGTATATGTATGTGCATTAATATACGTCGTATGTGTATACATGCCTACACTAATAAAATTTGTTTATCCATTTAGCATTTTTTTTACATATATGCATATATGCTTGTGTATACGTATATATTTGCATGTACTCATAGAATTATTATATTCTTTTTGGCATAATCATTTTATTATCTATTCATGTGTGTATTTTACATGCCTACGGTTTTCTTTTAATGATATCAAACGTTTTGATACAATAATAAATATATTAATTTATTATGCATCAATTAAAATGCTATCTCTTTAATTATTATGTACTTGCTTTATTGTTATGCAAATTATCATAAGAACCTGAAGTTCTTTATAGAAAATATAGGCTCGAAGTCTATATCGAATATCAAAGCCTGAAGCTTGAATATATTGAATAAATTAGACTCAAACCTGGAGTTTTGAGTATACATATAATCTAAAGCACTATTAATTTTATGACACAGTGCTATGGCAAACATCACCAAGCTTGAGTTCGCTGCTCTAGATATTTCCGGAAGAAATTATCTAACTTGGATCCTTGATGCTGAGATCCATTTGAATGCCATGAACCTCGGAAATACCATTAAGGATGGTAATGAGGAAAGTGAACAAGATAAGGCGAAATCAATGATTTTTATCGCCATCATCTCCACGAGGGCTTAAAATCCGAGTATCTTGGGGTAAAGGACCCTGCTACTCTATGGAATAATTTAAAGGAAAGATATGATCACCAGAAGAGTGTGATACTTCCTAAAGCTCGATATGAATGGATGCACTTGCGTTTGCAAGATTTTAAATCGGTAAATGAGTATAATTCCGCCATGTTTAAAATTGTTTCTCGATTGAGATTATGCGGAGACGATGTCACAGAACAAAACATGTTAGAAAAGACATTTACCACATTTCATGCCTCTAATATGCTCCTGCAGCAGCAATATCGTGAAGAGGTTTTACCAAATACTCTCAATTGATTTCTTGCCTCCTCGTTGCTGAACAGAACAACGAGCTCTTGATGAAAAATCATAACTCCCACCCAACAGGATCACAAGCATTTCCAGAAGTAAATGCAAATGTTTCGTTCCCTGAAGTGAATGCAAACAACTATAATCGTGGTCGGGGTCGTGGCCGTGGGCGTGGGTATCGTCGTGGTCATGGTCGACATCAAGATGGTCCTAAAGTTGCACCATACCACCCGAAGTGGAATAAAAATGGTGAAAAACAAGACAAGGGCAAGGCTGTAAAATTTGGCCCTTCTAATAATCAAAATGAGAGTTGCCACAGATGCGGAGTGAAAGGGCACTGGTCACGTGCATGTCGTACTCCAAGGCACCTTGTGGATTTATATCAAGCATCCATCAAGGGAAAAGGAAAAGGGAAAGAAATCAATTTTACTGATTTTAGCAACACCGAGAATGACCATATTGATCCAATGGACCTTACCCATTTGGATGTTGCTGATTTCTTTCCCGCGCCAAGTGGAGAAATTGATGAAATCAAATTTCATGGTGATGATAACAATGATGGCAACAAATAGATCAATCAGGATTGATCAAATATTACATTTATGTTGCATTTGAGTTAAATAATGTTTATCTTTCCATTCCCTAAATGAGTTCGAAATAATTTTGATGTGTGGTTGGTGGTTTGATTGATATAAGAAAATAAATTTTATTATATCTTCTTATATTACTTATTTTATTCCCAGAAAAATGGAATATAATGAGTCCGTGAGCAACCTTAACGATGGAGACATTTGTTTGGTTGACAGTGAAACAACACACACAATTCTTCGAGATCAAAAATATTTCTCGAGTTTGAAATTGGCAAAGGCAAGTGTTAGTACAATTTCTGGTACTACCAAACTAGTTGATGGCTCCGGAAGAGCTAATATTATTTTGCCTGGTGGAACGAACATTTTGGTCAAAAAGGCTTTGTACTCTAATAAATCCAAAAGAAACTTGTTAAGTTTCAAGGACATACGTCTCAATGGATTTCATATCGAGACTATGAATGAGGGGAATATGGAATTTCTTTGTATTACAACCAATATTTCATGCCAGAAGCATGTTAAAGAGAAACTCTCAGTTTTCTCATCAGGGTTGTATTATGCGACTATAAGCGAATAGAAACAAATATTGTGATGGACCAGAAGTCCAATGATCCGAAAATTTTCTCTCTTTGGCACGATCGACTTGGTCACCCAGGATCGACCATGATGCGTCGAATAATAAATAATTCATATGGGCATACTTTAAAGAACCAGAAGATTCTTTTGCCCCATGAATGTGTGTGCATTGCATGCTCACAAGGGAAATTAATTATAAGACCATCTTCAATGAAAATTAGTAGCGAAGCCCCAACATTTTTACAAAGAATTCAAGGGGATATTTGTGGACCTATAGATCCACCTTGTGGACCATTTCGCTATTTTATGGTTCTATTGGATGCATCATCTAGATGGTCACATGTAAGTCTATTGTCAACACGTACTGTTGCTTTTGCTAGACTTCTTGCTCAAATCATAAGATTACGAGCTCAATTTCCCGATTATCCTATCAAGACTATTCGTCTTGATAATGCCAGTGAATTTTCATCTCAAGCATTTCATGATTATTGCATGTCAATTGGTATTGATGTTGAACATTCAGTTGCCCATGTACATACTCAAAATGGACTTGCAGAGTCCTTTATTAAGAGATTGCAATTGATTGCTAGACCTTTGTTTTTACGGTCTAATTTACCCACTTCTATTTGGGGACATGCAATATTACATGCTGCTTCATTGGTCAGGATTAGACCAAGTTCATTTCAGAAGTATTCACCGTTTCAACTTGTTTCTGGCCAGCAGCCAGACATTCTCACTTAAAAATATTTGGTTGTGCTGTTTATGTTCCGATTTCTCCACCTTAGAGAACAAAAATGGGTCCACAAAGACGACTTGGAATTTATGTTGGTTTTGATTCCCCGTCTATAATTAGATACATTGAACCCCTGACGAGTGATTTGTTTAAGGCAAGATTTGTTGATTGCCATTTTGATGAGACAATTTTCCCGCCGTTAGGGGGAGAAAGATCGTCGGTTCAAGTTGAACGGCGTGAAATTACATGGAATGTACCGTCTTTGTCTCATCTTGACCCACGCACAAATCAATGTGAGAAAGAAGTAAAAAGGATAATCTATTTGCAAAATATTGCAAATCAATTGCTGGATGCTTTTACCGATATGAAAACGGTAACAAAATCTCATATACCCGCTATAAACACCCCGGCACGGGTTGATGTCCCTGAAGGACAACATGAAAAGATAATGAAACCTCGCATGAAGCGTGGGCGCCCTATTGGCGCAAAAGATAAGAACCCTAGAAGGAAAAGGGTAATAGAAGTAAATTCTCCTTAAGAGAATATTATCTGTGAACAAGAAAGCGCTATGAAAAATGTGACTGATCAGTCTAAAGTACATGATGCCCCTGGAGAGGATCATGAGAAAGAACTTATATCTGAAGAGATATCTTTAAACTATTTGAATAACAGAAAAAACTGGGATAGAAATAAAGTTGTTATTGATAATATTTTTGCCTATGGGGTTGCAATTGATATTGCAAATGAGGACCCCGAACCAAAATCTGTCGAAGAATGTCGACATAGAAATGATTGGCCAAAATTGGAAAATGCTATTCAAGCTGAATTAAATTCCCTTGAAAATCGTAAAGTATTTGGACCAGCAGTCCTAACACCGGATGGCGTAAAACCCGTTGGATACAAATGGGTATTCGTACGAAAACGAAATGAGAAAAATGAAATCGTGAGATATAAAGCACGATTAGTTGCACAAGGTTTCTCACAGAGACCCGGAATTGATTATGATGAAACATATTCCCCCGTGATCGATGCAATCACGTTGAGATATTTGATCAGTTTAGCATTCACAGAGAGGCTTGACATGCGCCTTATGGATGTTGTTACTGCATATCTATATGGATCATTATATAGTGATCTTTATATGAAAATCCCTGAAGGATTTAAAATGCCTGAAGCATTTAAACGAAGGTCTCGTGAGCTATACTCAATTAAGTTGCAACGATCCTTGTACGGTTTAAAACAATCTGGAAGAATGTGGTATAACCGTCTAAGTGAATACCTTGTTAAAGAAGGGTATATAAAATAATCCAGTTTGTCCTTGTGTTTTCATCAAAAGATCTAATAGTGGATTTGCTATTATTGCGGTTTACGTGGATGATCTAAATCTTGTGGGAACTCCTGAAGAGCTCACAAAGACCGCAAACTATTTGATGAAAGAATTTGAGATGAAAAATCTCGGAAGGATAAAATTTTGTCTCGGCCTGCAGATCGAGCATTTGTCCAATGGAATCTTCATCCATCAATCAACATATACAAAAAAGATTCTAAAACGATTTTACATGGATAAATCTCATCCTTTGAGTAGTCCAATGGTTGTTCGATCGTTGGATATAAAGAAAGATCCATTCCGCCTTCGAGAAGAGAATGAAGAATTACTTGGTCCAGAAGTACCTTATCTTAGTGCCATTGGAGCACTAATGTATCTTGCAAATAACACTAGACCTTATATTGCTTTCTCGGTCAACTTATTAGCAAGATATAGCTCTGCGCCTACTAAAAGACATTGGAATGGCATTAAACATGTATTACGCTATCTTCGTGGAAAAACTGATATGGGTTTGTTTTACTCAAACAATTCATAATCCCAAATAGTGGGCTATGCAGATGCCGGCTACCTTTCTGATCCACATAAAGGCAGATCTCAGAGTGGTTACGTTTTTTTTTGTGGCGGTGCTGTAATTTCATGGCGTTCAGTGAAACAGACATTGGCAGCTACTTCTTCAAATCACTCAGAAATTCTGGCATTGCATGAAACCAGTCGCGAGTGTATATGGTTGAGATCAATGATCCAACACATTCGAGAAAATTGTGGGCTGACTTCAATACGAGATACACCCACAATACTTTACGAGGATAATGCCGCTTGTATTGCACAAATCAGAAACGGCTACATTAAAGGTGATAGAACAAAACATATATCACCCAAGTTTTTCTACACTCACGAGCTACAAAAGAATGGTGATATTGACGTTCATCAGATACAGTCATGCAACAACTTGGCAGATTTATTCACTAAAGCACTGCCAACTACAACGTTCAGGAAGATGGTCCATAGTATTGGAATGCGTCGACTCAAAGATCTCTTGCCGACATCAGGGGGAGCGTGATCATTAACTCTCACACACTGTACTCTTTTTCCTTCGTCCAAGTTTTTATCCCACTGGGTTTTTCTTGGCAAGGTTTTAACGAGGCAGTGTCTCACGATCGCAAGCTTCACATGGATGTGCACTCTTTTTCCTTTGTCCAGATTTTCCCATTGGGTTTTACTGGCAAAGTTTTTAACGAGGCATATTCCATTAAGATTGACATCCAAGGGGGAGTGTTATGAATGCATTCAATATGCATTTAGTGTGGATGTCAAAAACGTAAGAGTTTAAGTGGCTTCATTAATACTTCATGTATTCAATATGCTACTTGAGAACTATAAATAGATGCCATTGTAATGGATCTAAAACACACTTGAATAAACAAGAAAGAATAAAAAGAAAAGGTTCTATTATCCTTACATTTGATCTCCCATATTCTTGTTTTACTTGATTTTCTTTAATATATTTATAGGGCAAATTACCAAAATCCCCCTAAGGTAAGCCTAAATAACGAAAACCCCCCTCACGTTCTCGTAATTACGAAAACCCCCCTTGACTAACGGTTGACCGAATTTTTTTAACCGAAAACGTGAAATGTCTATTATATCCTTCTGTTAAATATGTAAAAAATAAAGGGCAAATTACCAAAACCCCCTTGAGGTAAGCCTAAATAACGAAAATCCCCCCTAACATCCCTTTCACTTGATTATTTATTGCTTTTATAAATTTATTTATTACTTTGTAATTTGTATTGATAATTTGATATTATAATGTTTTTATTTTTTTTATTTATATATTTTAATTGATTTTATTTATCCAGAGGAGTATTCATACGGATTTATGCTTTTAGCTTGAATGATGCATGGTTGTATTTCTCGAATTGTAAAATATTTAATTTTATATATAAAAAATAATTAAATTTTGAAATCTCATCCATTGATTTTTTAATCCAATAAAAATACATTGTACATTCATAATGATTAAATATTTGGGTTTAACTTAAGAAAAATAAGTATTTTGCAGACACTTATATATTTTATGAAGAGTATATATTTATGACCCCTCATTAAATAAAATGCTTACAATTACCCCCTAAGGGTAATTTCGTGTACAAGGGCAAAATTGGTATTATCGGAGGAATATTCGGGAGAATCAAAAAGATTCTATTGAGTTTAACACCGTTAGAGCGATTTGTAAGATGTCTGCATACCTCAGGGGGGTTTTCGTAATTACGAGAACGTGGGGGGGATTTCCGTTATTCAGACTTACCTCAGAGGGGTTTTGGTAATTTGCCCTATATTTATAATAGTATTTTATTTATTTAGTTCTATTTTTCTTGCAATGGGTCAACCCAAAATAAAATGGCATATTTAATACCCTCGCAGTCTAATCAGAAATTATTATAATGTTCATGCTTTTCTTGTAGCTTTATTATTATTATTATTATTATTATTATTAATTGTGCCATCTGTCGCGATTTCACTACAGTTGCTTAAATTTCATCCACTTCTAAAATTCGTACGCACACGCATACGAAACATAGCTGCAAAAAAATCGGAATAGGGGATGTAAAAATGAAGGAAAAGCATCTGGATTTGGTGCTAGTGCCCTTGGGAATGGGGATGCTTTTGTTTTATCACTTTTGGCTACTCTTCACAATCACACGCAACCCCACGCGAACTGTGATTGGTTTGAATGCTGAGAGCCGCCGCAAATGGGTCTTCTCCTTGATGGATGTTTGTACTCTCTCTCTCTCTCTCTCTCTCTCTTCCATTTTCTTTAATTTCTCTCTCACTATTTTATGGTTTTGTCTTTTGTTTTTACTGATTTCACTGCCCAGATTGAATTAGGGTTGATTTTAATCGGATTTGTTTGTTTGTTTGTTTGTTTATATTTACAGTTTTCATCCATCAAGTTTGCAACAATTTCACATTTGGTCTTCATGTTTACAAAAAAACACATTTGGTCCCTCATCTTTCAATAATTTGACACTTTTGGTCATTTCTGTCAATTTAGTATTAATCCGTCAGTTACGATAGTGATGGGAACATGTCTGACCGGGTCAGTTTTAACGGAAAAGACTAAAAGTGTTGAGTTTTAGAAACATTAGGGACCAAATGTATTTTTTATGAACATAAGAGACCAAATGTGAAATGAACCAAACTTAATGGATGAAAACTGTACTTTTTCCAAAAAAAAAAATTTGACAACAACAACAAAAAAGGAAAAAGGAAAAAAACCTAACGAGAAAATACAGTTTTCTTTCCTCAAGTTTGCACCGATTTTACATTTGGTCCCCGATGTTTACAAAAAATACATTTGATCTCTCATGTATCAATAATTTCACTCTTGGTATTTTTAGCCAACTTAGTTTTAGTTTGTCAGTTAGGGCAGTCATGAGCACACGTTTGATTATATTAGTACTAACGGAAAATTGACGTGAAAGACTAAAAATGTTGAATTTTTGAAACATAATAAGGGACCAAATGTGTCTTTCTGAACATAGGGGACGAAATGTGAAATGGCGGCAAATGTGAGGGATGAAAACTTTAGTTGTATAATGTGGTCTAGGAGTTGTTTGTTATATTTATACAAGGAGATAAAAAAACGAAGCTACTTGTCAAAATAGTACCAAAGGGTGAAAAGAAAATTTTGTTTGCCACAACTTGTGAATATAATTTTGCGCAAACTGAAACGTGAACATATCGGAGGTCACAAATGGATCCCAATGTTGTAGTGAATATTGGCTGAATATGATTTTTTTAAGCTAAAAGTAGAATTGTGCAGGATCCGGTTGGGGTTATTGTGTGTATATTGATTGAGGTACGAAATCAGTAAGTTAAATTTTGTGGTCACAATATAACAGGATCCACTTAAAAACGGTGTTTTGGCAGTCCAAACGATACGAAACAATATAATGGCATCGACACTTTTGGCGACCGCAGCCATTACTCTGAGCTCGTTGATAAGTGTATACGTCAGTAACAAATCGAGCTCTCCGTCTTCGGGATTCGTGTACGGAAATAAAAGTCAACTGATGTCTTCCGTAAAATTATTCGCTATCTTGGTATGCTTTCTCGTTGCGTTTCTTTGCAACGTGCAGTCTATTAGGTACTACGCCCACGTCAGCTTTCTCGCCACTGTGCCTGCGTATCAAGATAGAAAAGAGGCTATCGAGTACGTGGCCCGACACTTGAACAGAGGAAGCTTCTTTTGGTCGCTTGGGCTACGAGCATTTTACCTCTCGTTTCCTCTGTTTCTGTGGGTTTTTGGACCGATTCCCATGTTTGTGTGTTGCTTTACGATGATATTTGTTCTGTATTTCTTGGACACCACATCAAACTTTACGAGGGAGATGCACAGTCATTCGATTAAAGAGGAAACCGTCGGTGGAGATGTCGAGTCGATTGTATAAAATTGATCGTTCTTGATTTCGAATGTGTGTTGTTCATTTACTTGCCGAGTACTTATGTACATGGTATACTCATCCAAGCACTTGGATTCTTTGTTTCGTTGGATATATTGTTCTTAAAATTTGTAGTGAAGTCTTTTTTAGTGTTATTCTTGTTTTTATTTCAAATGTTATCCTTGAACTTTGAAAATCATCAACTACTCACCGTCTACTCATTTGTCTACTGATATTATTGTATTAGCTAGTACGGTAGTTAAATGTATTTAAATTAGGGGATATTGGCTAGACACCCCTTATTCCATACTTATATAGGTAGGGATTCAAATTGTTAAATGAATATAGCTATAAGTCCCTTGACCTAAAAAAATAATATAAATGAAATTAAAATAATAGTATATACTATATAGACATAAATGCCCTCAATTAATATTTATATGAAAATAACTACTTATGAAAAATGAGGAAACAAATCCCACATATTACTCCCCTCTTCTAACAACATCACTCTCTCTCTCTCTCTCTCTCTCTCTCTCTCTCACGTGAATCTCTCTCCCCATCTTTCTCTATCTCAATATTTATTTGTTATTAGTTATTTGTAGTAGGCTTATAATTTGTATTTGGATTTTCTAACTAATTATGCTTAAGTAAACAACAAAATGAATTTGAAACACATATTTAACGTCACAAAATCGATGTAATATGTGCATCTACTTGTCACATTTTGGTAGGATCTCATACATGTATTTGCAAAATTTTTCGACATTATTTTTCATTATCTAATTTTTTATCCATTAAATTTTATATATTTCCAAGTTGTAACATCAAAATGCAAAATACAATTTGCAATATACAAATTGCAAAAACAAAGCGAGAAATACAAAAGAAAGAATAAACAAACTACTAGTAACAAATTAGTACATTAAACACAAATTTTTGCAAGATACAAGCTAATAATTTCAATTTTCTAATAAAATTTAACGGTGTAGTTGTTGATAAGATCTAATAAATAAAGACTTTCAAATTCATTTATGCAGGCTCAGTCAATAAAGGTAGTTGCAAGCAGTGGTGTTCTTCAATGTACTCGACGAATGTTGTAGCTTTTCATGGCTTCGCTTGTAGTCCGATTTGATGTAATTTTTCCCTTTTGGGAAGTTGTTGAGGAGACATGTAATGTTTTCTCCCCCTTTTTTATTTGACGTAATTGTTTGAACGGACAAAAAAAAACAATCATTAAGATTTTTAATTGCAATGATGAAACTGAAAATAGCAAATTACAAACTTAATTATAATTGCAAACAATAATTTCAAAGTAACAAGAAATTGCAAACAAGGAATATTATACAAGAAATTATAAACAAGAGACTTCAAATTGCAAACAGAACATGCTGGTTCAATTATAAAAGAATAGCAAATTGCAAACCAAATGAACAACAATAAATATCAGAACTCGAGCAAAACAAAATGCAGACCATCACAAGAACAAATAATAAAGGTGAATATGAAGATTTAATAATGCACAATGTAATGCATATTTCATACAAACAACTATAACAACAACTTAGCAATAAGCAACTGCAAAAAAATAAAAAATAAATGCAAATAACAATATAAAAAGTATGGTAAAGAACTGTACAAAATATCTAAATCGAAACCTTTGAAGTGTGCGGATAACGGACGACATCGATACTCCAATATCAACAAAAATATTCTCTGAGATAAAAAAAAGATCCATAACATCTCTCATAAAATCATCATCAAAACATCTAAAAACAAACGGGAGAAATGCAAAAAAGTTAATTACATACCCACATTTTTACTTTTTTCCGCATAAAACCCATAACATATGTTACTTACCGAAATTCATACGTGTGTGAACCATTGTTTGCGGGAGGAGTTGAAATCGCAAACACCAAACAAAGCGAAAACGAAAAAAAACCTTCAAAATAGCGAACAAAGAACGAACAAACAATTACCACATCACAAACAACAAACAGTAAACGAAGTTTGAAGATTCCAAACGATCTGAAGGCCCTTGTTAATACACGATGCACTTTTTTGTTGGGTTTTTAATTCCAAAAATTTGTTTCGGATGGTTTGATTTTCATCTCTGCCGATGGGTTCTAATTTCACGGTTTTTTTGATTTGGGGATTTTAGAGAGGGGTTGGTTACGTATATTTTGGGATCAATATATTATGAGATTTTTATTCCTTATATTGTTAGGGGTATTTCAAACACAATAAGTACAATTAATTTAATTAAAATAAGGATTTATTAGTTGGATTTATGCAAATAAAATCTACTATAGGAGGAGGACCTATAGCAAATTGCACCTTTAAATTAATACAGTCGAACTAACGATATTCTATTAATTTAGTAAATATTAAATTATTTGAATTAATAATTTAATACGTTTTAATCGAGTCGGGATTGGAAGAGATTATTATTTGACTGAGGTTATTAAATCATTGAGTATTGGTTTATCGAAGTTCTATTTTAGTATAATTAAACACATATTTTTTTCCTAAAAATGTAGGGCAAATGACAAATAGGCTCAAAGGCACTTAATTCAAAAAATGGACATCCAATTTTTCTGTCTTTCAAACATTTCCAGTTCATTCAAACTTATTAGCAAATAAGGAAAACTCTTTTATATATACCAAAATTATCCCAAATTCATTGAAACTCAATTCAACTCCAATTTCATTATTTACACCCCAATTTAGTCCAATTTGACCAATTAACCGATTTTGACCATGATTTTAATTTTGACCCCAATTTTGACCCGCCACCACCGGAGACAGCCGACCAGCCGCAGTTGACTGCCGGTCCGTCGCCGGTCTCTCGCATTAACTTTTTCTTTAACTTTTTTTTTTTATTTTTTTCCGGTAGGTCAACCGTCGTTGACCGTCGAGTCTCCGGCGTTGATTTTTTTTTTATTTTTTTTTTTCTTAAAAAAAAAATTACTGTTTTGGCTACTAAATTACTGTCTCTAGCAGTTATTTAACTATTGAAGACAGTAATTTAACTATTAATTGACCTTTTCTTTTCTTAAAAAAACATATTTTAATTAATTTTACTGTCTTGGCTGTTAAATTAATGTCTCCAGCAGTTATTTAACTGTCGGAGATAGTAATTTAACTATTAATTGACTTTTTTTTCTTAAAAAATATATTTGAATTAATAGTAACGTCTTGGCTGCTAAATTACTGTTTCCAGCAGTTCTTTAACTGTTAATTGACTTTTTTTTTTAAATTTTGTTTTTTCTTAAAAAAGATTATTTATTTAATATTACTGTCTTGGTTGCTAAATTATTGTCTCCAACATTAATTTAACTGTCCGAGACAATATTATTACTGTATTAATTAATTTTATTGTCTTCGCCTGCATCTTTGCTGTCTCGATTGTAATATTATTATCTTCGACCGTAATATTACTGTCTCATGCAATAATATTACTGTTCGGGACAGTAATATTAGTAATATTAATGTTCGGAAAAATAATATTCATAATATTACTGTCTGAGACAGTAATTTAACAGCCAAGACAGTAGTATTAATTAAAATATATTTTTCTACGAAAAAACAAAATTTCCAAAAAAAAAAATAATAAAAAAAAGTGTCAACGCCGGAGACTGGCGATCAACAGCGGTTGAACGGCCGGAAAAAAAATTCAGAAAAGAAAAAATTCAACGCCGGAATCTGGCCAAAAAAGAAAGTCAGGAAAAAAATTATTTTCTGGAAAAAAAAAATCAAAAAATTATTAAAATGGGGGTTAATGTGATATATTTGTTTAAATCCGGGGTCAATGTGTAATATTAAGGAAGTTAGAGTACTATGGATGAAATTGATAAAAAAAATATATTATGGAGGGTATTTTAGACTAAAAACATGGGGAATGAGTTTATTTGAAAGACTATTTTATTTGTGGACCAATGGATATTTAAGTCCTTTGTCATGTCTTTTTTAGCCATTTGCCCAAAAATGTAAACTAATTACTCTTATTGGTAATTATCAAAATATAGTAAAAAGATAAATATAAAGTGGGGAAATATGCAATACCCATCTCAAATAGAAAATATTTTGAACTAAAATCAAATGACCTTTAAAGCCTTTTGTATACACCTAAGTTTCATTCTTAATTAGTGAGACACCCTGACCAGACATGATAAAACTAAAGGGCCTTTATCTGGTTAGGTTTTTAACGTGATACAGTTCTCTCTCTCTCTCTCTCTCTCTCTCTCTCTCTCTCTCTCTCTCTCTCTCTCTCTCTCTCTCTCTCTCTCTCTCTCTCTCTCTCTCTCTCTTCTTTTTTTTTCCTTCCTTTGCAGATGTGTAACTGCCGGCGCCCTCCTTTCTCTTTTTCACACAACCGCCGTAGTCTGCTCGCCGCCCTTCGTCGGATGCCGTCATTTCTATATGGAGATTCTCCTTTTTCGTTATCTCTCTCGATTTCTCAGATTTTTTTTCCAGACCTGTCCACCACCACCACTGTAGCCGCCTTCCCACTCTCTCTTTCGTTCATCGTCGTTGCCGTCGCCTCCCCCTCCCTCCTTTTCGTTATTTTTTATTTTTTTTCTTTTTTTCTTCTCTCCAGAACTGAAGCAGCAACATCAACCGGACTATAGTCTGGTTCGAATATGACTGTTGTTGATTCACTCGATTAGTGATTTATTAATTTCTCGTGTTCGTTGTCTCTCTCAATTTCTCTCTCTTTACACCACCATCGTCTCCATATAGATTTGTACACCACCACCACCGCCACTGCTCGTTGCCGCCGTCTCGTGTTCGTTGTCTCTCTCAATTTCTCTCTCTTTACACCACCATCGTCTCCATATAGATTTGTACACCACCACCACCGCCACTGCTCGTTGCCGCCGTCTCCTCCTTCGTTTCCACGTAAATTTTTTTCTCTCTTCTTCATTATCTCTCTCGTTTTCTCAAATTTTTATTTTTTTTCTTAGATTTGTCCACCACCACTGTCGCCGCCTCTCTCACTCTCTTTCCTTCACCACCGCCTTTGTCGTCGACTGCCCCTCCCTCTCTTTTGTTATCTTTCTATTTTTATTTATGTATTTTTCGACTTTTTTTTTCCTTCGGGATTCCTCAATTGATTCCCAATCTAATGAGCATCAAACTCATTGGTTGCA